CATCATCCACTCCCTTTTATCATCACTCCCTTCATCATCACTCCTACATCATCAGTCCCTCATAATCACTCCCTCATCATCACTCCCTCATCATCACTCCTACATCATCAGTCCCTCATCATCACTCCTACATCGTCAGTCCCTCATCATCACTCCCTCATCATCACTCCCTCATAATCACTCCCTCATAATCACTCCCTCATCATCACTCCCTCATCATCACTCCTACATCATCAGTCCCTCATAATCACTCCCTCATCATCACTCCTTCATCACTCTCTCATCATCACTCCTACATCATCAGTCCCTCATCATCACTCCTACATCATCAGTCCCTCATCATCAGTCCCTCATTATCACTCCTACATCATCAGTCCCTCATAATCACTCCTTCATCATCACTCCTTCATCATCACTCCCTCATCATCACTCCTACATCATCAGTCCCTAATCACCACTCCCTCATCATCACTCCCTCATCATCACTCCCTCATCATCACTCCCTCATCATCACTCCCTCATCATCACTCCTACATCATCACTCCCTCATAATCACTCCTATATCATCACTCCCTCATCATCACTCCTTCATCATCACTCCCTCATCATCACTCCTTCATCATCACTCCCTCATCGTAAATCCTACATCATCACTCCCTCATCATCACTCCCTCATTATCACTCCCTCTTCATAGTGTGTTAATCCGGTCTTCATTCACTCTCTGTGTTTAAGGGTAAGTTCTACCTGGAGGACCCCAGTGGTACTGTGCAGCTCGACATCTCAAAGGCAATATCCTTTAGTGCTCACCATGACCCTGTTGTACCACTATAATGACTGTGTTGCATGTATAATGACTGTGTTTACATGTATAATGTCTGTGTTTACCTCTATATTGACTGTGTTTACCTCTATAATGTCTGTTTACATGTATAATGACTGTGTTTACGTGTATATTGACTGTGTTTACCTCTATAATGACTGTGCTGTACCGCAGTATTAGTGAGTGTTGTGGTTTCTCCTTGACTGTATCTGCACCAGTTCCACAGTGGGCTGTACACTGAGAGCTGCTTCGTGCTAGCGGAGGGTGAGCTCTTCCTCTGCACTCCAGCACTGCTTTCACTCAGGTCCTGTAGCTCGTTAATAATGTTGTGAATCTGCTTCTGTATTGACAGGCTGGTATGAGGACTCTGTGTTCCACGTCAGTGCGTTCGGCTTCCCGCCTACAGAACCCTCGTCCTTCACCAGGTGTGTGTGTGTGTGTGTGAGTGAGAGAGAGACCCTAAACAAATAGCTAAAGACTACTTTGTGTCTGCAATAATTTATTTATTTATTGATTTATTCACCTGTTCTTGTGCGGAGCTGATCTGAGTGTTTAATGTTGTCCTGTAGAAGATCAGTGAGTGTGTGTATCTGCACATCACTTTACTGTGAAACACCAGGGGCTGTTTATAATTATGTGGATGCTGTGTTGCTTTAATTAGTATTAGTCATTGTAATACTAATAATCAAGTGTGTGCGTGTGTGTGTGTGTGTGCTATAGGGCGTATTTCGGCAATGTGAACTTCTTCGGCGGGCCGTCCAGCACAGCGGTGAAAGCGTCCGCTAAACTGAAGCAGCTGGAGGAGGAGAACGAGGACGCCATGTTTGTGCTGGTGTCAGACGTGTGGCTGGACAGTGTGGAGGTGCTGGAGAAGATACACACCATGTTCTCTGGTCAGTGTTTCTGTGTGGAAACACACACACACACCAGCGGTCAGACAGCGTCATTAATAATAATCACAGTGTGCTGTAGCCCTGTCTACATGTCCTGCTGAACTGTCAGAAGAGTTTCTCTGTGTGTGTGTGTGTGTGTTGTGTGTGTGTGTGTGTGTGTGTGTGTGTGTGTGTGTGTGTGTGTGTGTTAATGGGTGCTATTGTGTACAGGATACTCCGCTCTGCCGCCCACCTGCTTCATCTTCTGTGGGAGTTTCTCCTCGGCTCCGTATGGCAGGACTCAGCTGCGCTCGCTCAGAGGTGCTGCTAGATATTAGATTCATACTGTTCATTATAATAATAATTTTTATTTATATAGCACCTTTCCAGAGCTCAAGGACACTTTACAAGGAATGCAACAAAAATCATCTCACACACACACACACACACACACACACACACACACACACACACACGACACACAAAAGGTTTACGTGCACAATTCTGCTGACCACTACCTCCTGATCTTTTCTGAAGATGGCGGGACATGGTTTGCCGCAATAGGTTAACTCTCTGACCCTCAAACCCAGCTGAGGCCATGGGCAAACATC